CGGCCAGTACCGAACCCTAGGTATCGGAGGCGAAAAAGGCGGATCGGAGCATCCCAAGTTTGGACTCTCATTCTGACGGCACCCATTCACTGCAGAGGACCCACTGATGAGCAAGTGATGGAATGCTACATTTCTCCAAATCTGTACTGATGAAGAAACAAACTCATCTTCATCTTGGATGGTATTAGGTTTTTTTTGTTTTATTTTTTGGGTGAACTATTCCTTTAATTTATTTACTTTTTTTTTTTAAATAAACAGTGTGTTCATTTTGCATGATTTGAGGTATTGATCATAGCATAAATGTTGCTGGACAACAACACCAAAGTGTAAAACTTGACATTTACATGATATTTTTTGCGTGATTTATTGCCAGTCCAGAAAGCTCTGCAGCTCTTGAGGGACTTGCAGCCACTCAAAGAGAGCGACAGGACCCTGGAGTGGTACGTGTGACTGAATTATTTAGACCTGCAGAAAGGATATCATGTTTCGTGCATTCAAATAGCATCTCTTTGTATTAGGAGAGAGCAGCATTCATTAATGTACTGTATGGAACAGCATTCAAGATGTTTCTGTGTTGTTTTCACCTGCTATTGGATGCCACGAAGTCCGTCATTTTAAATGGTTGTCTGTCTATGTTAAGGATGTCAGCCTAGACTCCAACTCCCTCGGCAGCTCGCCTCAGTTTCATTGGATGCTTGAAAAGGGAATGGTGGGTCTGATTGGCTGATAAAACAGTCAGCCTGCAGTGTGACGTGCTTTATACAGACCTGCTGCTCTGGGAGCTTTTTTTCCTTCAGCATGTCAAAGTTTTTTTTCTCATTTGGTGAATGATAAGTGTCCGTTGTCTTGCTTCTGAGTGGCCCGCATGGTTTGAGGAGCTTCATTCTCTTTATTTGCTGAAGGTTCTGTGGGACTGTGGGTGTTTAGCTCATTCTGTCATTCAGACCTGGATCCTGACCGATCCATAGCTCCTCAGTGCCTTATTTTAGGATGTTGCCTAATTTCAAAACAACTTATTTCCCATCCTCAGGACTGAAACATAACGCATCTTCCTTTACACTTAAAAGCACTGAGAAGCGTGAAGCTTGTTTGAGATTGCTACTGATAGTTGTGCTAATGCAAATGAACTAATATTTTTCTCCTGCTGTCAGATTCCTGTCAATCAGAGTGAAGTGATGGACGACATTGAACGATGGCTGGACGGAGAGGATGTAAGCGACACATTTTTAGACCTCTAACTGGGTGCTTGTGAGGAGTATTACAGTTCTGACTCTAATTTCGATTCCACTGATTTCTATGCAAATTCCCCCTCAAATGATTGGTCATAAAACAATAATACGATACGATACACTTTATTGTCAGACTGAGTCTGAAATTTGTCTTACGTTACAGTAGGTTCACTCAAGGTTACAATAGTTTATCACATAAACAACACAGAATGCAGAGCTTTCACACACATACATATATAAAATAAAAAAGGACATTTACTTTTTATATGAATTATTCAGCGCTAATACAGCTTGATGTACAAATGAATTCTTTAACTTAATTCGGCTGTATCTTGGGACCTTATATCGTCGATTAGATGGCAACAATGTTATTAGCAAATCTTACAAGATTATTATGGTAAGATAGTTCATATGCTTTTTGAAGTGGCTGATCCACAATACTATTCATATTTTAAAACAACCTGACAAATATCAAAACTCTCTTATAAAACTGCAGCTCAGAAGTGTGAAATTAATACTTTTATTTAGCAAGAATGCAATTACGGATAGTAAAGACAATGTTAGAAAAGCTTTTTAGTTCAAATAAATGCCGTTCTTCTGAACTTTCTGTTCATCAAAGAATCCTGAATAAAAATGTGTCAGTTTCCACAAAAATATGAAGCAGCACAACTGTTCTCTCGTTGATGTTTCTTGAGCAGCATATCAGAATGATTTCTGAAGGATCATGTGAAAATTCAGCTTTACCATCACAAGAATAAATGACATTTTAAAATATATTCAAATCACAATGTTACTGCTTTTATCGTGTTTTTATAAAAACAATAGTGTATATGAATATTTTTTTCAAAAACAGTAGTGTATATGAATACATACAACTATGAACGGTCATATGAACCAGTCAGTAACGACTCACAAATCTTTATATGAAATAGTGAACTCTGAACATGGCAAAACAAAAGTAATGATTAGCAGTTCAGTAAATGAAGAACTGCTGCAAATGATTCAGGAACACGTCTCTTCTTTACATCAAGTTTACTGAAACGTGCACTATAAGACCTTTTATGATGAATAAGTCATTATTCAATATAAGTGGGTGTATTTGGATTTCATGTCATCTTAAATCATTGATTATTGTATTTCATAAGTATTTTTGTGTTTGTTATTTTGTGACACAGGAAGATGACTCTGAAGGAGTGACTAGTGAAGGTAATCTTCTTAATATGGCTATTATGATCATGCTTTCAGCTACAAATAAGACTGTAGTACTTTTAGCACCATATAACACACTTTGCCATATTTGATCTGAGGTAGATTTCAATTGACATGAAAAATGTGGGAAACGCTTCAGTCCTTCTGGGCCATAAGCTAAAATGATATTTGCATGCTCACTCATCTTTTCTTCTGCATACGAGGCATGAGTGGCCGATGTTCATGCTTTTTTAGAGAATCTAATTGCGTTCTGTCAGTCTTCTGTATGATCCAGTCTTCCTGTTGTAAGAGTATCAGTCCGGGTAGCTCATGTCTGACCTGCCGGATGTCCTTATTTAGTCACCTTCGTGATCTACTCGTGATCTTCCCCGTTTCACTGTAGTCTTGGGCTGTGTTACTCAGCTTGTGGTTTCATTACATTCATGTACCCTCTTAAATGTTTTGTGGTCATTTAAGAGCGCCCAGCTCTTTAGAGAATCTAATTGCGTTCGGTCAGTCTTCTGTATGATC